GGAATGCCATTGAGAAACCCAAAACTAAATATAAGCCATTCACACCAATGTAATCAGACACTGGGGGATCAGTTTGGATTAGTTCCTCAGGTCATCCTTCTTCCCTCATCTTCCCTCTTCCTCCACATCTGCTTTAGGTGCAGATTCTCTACCGAATGAACTATGCTCATCATAAGAAGCCATCCTTCTGGCTTCATCTACAAGCTCCCATATCAATCTTGGACCAGAACTAACTGTAAAAAGTCTACAGCACGGATCATCACAGGGGCCTAGACAACCTCCTGCCTCTCTCGCTCCATGAGTCAATCTTCCCCTGCTATATACTCACTGGGACATGTGGACATCGAGGTTTTTCAGAAATAAAAGCAAAGTAGTCCTTTCTAAATTCTGTTTTTGTAATCTCGTAAACTGTAGTTTAGCTGCAGACTTCTATTTTAACTTTATTTACTATATCATTTATAATCATTTTAAAGGGTATTTCAAAAATAAAATATTGTATTCAGTGTATAGCTAAGCTAAGGAGAATTACAATAAATTGAAAGAATAGTTAAAGGAATTAAATGAACAATGACTTCAGAAATGTAAATTAGATTTATTTGCATGAATTCTCAAGTTTTTAGAAAAAAATTAACTGAGATGAAGACTGACACATTTAAACCGAAAATATCTTACTTTACGCAGATATGTATATTTAAATGCAGACTCCTCCTGTTGGGCTTTTCGACTAAAACAGCAAATGTGCTCACAAGTTACAAAATCCATTTCATATGCCTCTTTTAAACAAATTATTAGCATATCAAATAAGCACAGATAATTAATTATCAAAACCCTGTTGGAGGTGATTCTGCTTCAAAATCTTACACAATCCTACGCCTCTGAATGTCAGAAAACTGGTTAAGGTTAAAGTCTTTGCAGCACATCAACAAATATAAAAAACACATTACTTAGAGTCATGCTATGGTTGCTCTGCCACTACATGAAAGAGATGTGGAAGACATCTGCACGGAAGAGCAGTAAGGTACAGTCATAGACAAAAACCTTACTGAAAAAATAGCACACTGAACTGCACTCACTACTAAAACAGAAAAATGGTTAACACAAACACAAAAATAACCAAGAAAAAAAGGTGTCTCTTTCGGAAAATAAATTTCAGGAGACCCACAACATTTAAAGCATTTTTTTCCCGATCTGTTTCTCCCCTCTCCACCTGTTCATCCTATATCCTTTTCTTTCAATATAAAAAGACTCTGGCTCAGATCCTTACTGCTCAATCATTTGAGCTACTGAACACTCATTATTGAAATTAGTGCAAATTAAGCATGAGTTAATGGCACCAATTCAGAATAGCATCATTCTTTATGACAGTACATAAGCACATGCTTTTCTGAATTCTGGCCTAATTACAGTACTGATTAGGAATATGCATGTGCTTAAGCACTAATGACCAGAATAATATGACTCCCAAATACTATGATCCCAGCTATCGATAAATCAAATCTCCTATCAATATACATTTGAAAAACAATGGCAGCATTTAAGTCTAGCTAACCAGAGTTTCTGTTTCTTGCCTTTTTTTTTTTTTTTTAAAGAGTATCATTTAGATTTCTTAAAATCAAATGTTTACATGCAGACTGTGAAGAAAAAACATTGGGCTAAAATAACACATTTATTACATGCTAAGTTACAGTTTGCTGCATTCTTATTTGTATTTGCACTCACAGTACTATTGGAAACTGAAGTAAGTCCATCAAGAACAAATGAGGTACACAGTTTGTCAATGCACAGAAGCAAATAAGTCTGTCTAAGCCAAATAGCCATAAAATTCAATAGTTTTAGTATTTCATTACATTGCCTCATAGAAATTACAGATGACAGACTTCTTATCCATCCTTTGCCAATTCAGAATGTTTTCTGTTCTTCAGTTCAGTCACTGGAGGCTGATTGGCAACTGACAACCAAATGAACAGAAAAGGCTAACCAGATGTGCCAGAGGGGAGCAGGCGGTGAAATTCACGTTTCCCCTTGTGAAGTGCCAAGATATTTTGATTCTTTTTGCTTAAAGGTGCAGTGATGAAGCTCAGGAACTCACACAATTGGGCCTCATGTCACAGAGCACTTAGACTTGCTTTTCAAGTACACAGCAAACATGCTAGTTAAGTCACCTTCATACCTCCTCCTCCTGAGGAATGTGTTTAGCATTCTGTCAAAAAGCATCAAACTGCACTATGAATTAAAACTGACACATTTCTATTATACTGAATATTTTCTGAAAAAAAAAGATTCTACAGAAACAATAAATTCTATCACATCACTGTTGTTAAGGATCCTCACTTGTACTCTCAGTCTTACAATCAGAAGTTGCATCTCAGAAAGGTCATTCAACAGCTATTATCTGCCAGCCTCCACAGCAGATTCTCAGATTCTCTCAGCCACTTTCATATTTGATCAGTTAAATACAGAAAAAAAGTTTGCTTTAGAATGGGATCTTATTCTTCACACCGTTGGCCAGAATCACTGCATTTAACCTTGCAACTTTATTAAACTGTGGGGCTGAATGCTGCGATAGCATTTCACCTGAAATTTGTATTGTATATCAAATCTAATTGTGCCTGGTACCAACTAGCTTATGAAGATACATTAATCTTTTCTGAGACAAATTCAGAGGAGGGAACACATGCAACAGAAACATTGTGGGAGGAAAGGGTCTCTCACATATCATTTTCTGTTATTAGCCATTAATCATGTCTTTATCTCCAGTACTGAGTATCCTCGCCTAATGCCAAATGCTAATCCTATTAATCCTCTTTAAAGATCTGTAAAGTCTTCTCGTAGTTCTGACTTTTACTTAATGCATATCTTAATTTTACAGTGATTTTTGCAATCTCACTTGAGACCAGTTGCTTTCTGAGAAAGGAGGGACTGCATTTTCTCAAAAAGCAACGGATTTAAAAATATGGATTTCCCATAAACTAAGAAATGAAAAGGAGATACTAAATGCTGACAGTCAGCAATAGTGAACACAGAGAAGTCAATCCAGAAAGACTAATATTGAAGATTACCTACCTAAATGAATAGAAGCTCAGACTAAAGAGAAGCTGGAGAACCAGTCCTATGATTTTTGGAGCTACATCCCATCTTGGATAATGATCTGCAACACATAAGATTTTTTTACCCATATAACAGGAATTTGCTATTAAAAGCAAAGAAATATGAAGGAATTATTCTATCCATAATTAACCATAACAGAAGTTCAATAAATCCATATCACTTGGATTTGGCTCAGTAAGTAGCATACACAATGACAAGCAGAATCTACAAAAACCTTACCGTATAAAGTGGAGTAGGTCATACACTTCACTCTAAAGGCTGGAGTTCTAGCCTACTGGGTTTGAATATGATGATTATAACTTTGTCAGAGTTTTTCAAAACTTCAGCAACAGAAATTCTACTGAACATGACACTTTCTACGACCCTGAGTATGAATCAGACTAAAGAGAGAAGAATGGAGAGGAGGTGAAAAAGCATTATGCTCAGTGATAAGAACCTCAGTTGGCCAAGATCAGCCAGGTTTCCATGAAATTAGCAGAGCTGCACCAAGCAATGGCAGCTATTTAAAAACTTTGGAAAGTTGTAGCCCTTTGGAGAATTTTGGTGAACTCAAAAGAAGTAACAGCAGATGGAGCACAGACATAAATGTAATCTAAGGTTGAAAGCCAAAAGCTTACATAAATAGTCAGGATTAGACAAGCTCAGAATCGCCCTTGTGTTTTTGTGATATATCCATTTCTTGCTGCTCTCCACTCACGACTTTGTATAAATCTGAAGGGAATTATCTATGAATTTATCATGCTTTAACATACTGCAGAGGAAAAACGGCTAGCTGAAAAATAGGAACATTTCATTTTGACCTTTTGAAATCAGGAATTCATAAAAATAATCACCTTATAGAAGAAACAGATGAAAATAATTCCATTTTTATTAAGGCTTTATTTGTTAAGGTGAAAGAGATGCTACAATACTTATCTGCTTTATCATTTAGTATTAAAATTAAAATGTTATGTAGAACTGACCATTTCAAAACATAGCCTCTTGTCTCTGCACTTTGTTAGAGCTGGACATAGAATTGGTGTGTGTTCAGGTACATTAAATTTTACTGGTATTTATTTTAAAATTCTCTCTTCAAAACCAAAAACAAACAAAAAACCCAATTCTATTATTGATAACAAGGGATCACCGTATTTTCCCTTTTTGCTTCAAATTGTTAATACATCAAGACGATTTTAGTGACTTGGGACCAGCTCTAATTTTTGACTGCTCAATAAGTTTTAAGAATCAATGGTGAATTAGCCTTTTTCTGAGTTGGTCAAGCCTCTGAAATTTATAGATAAAGATAGCCAATCCAGTAAACAAGATTGAACAATGCAAAGGCAGTTGGAAAGAAGATGCGAGAATAAGAGTCAATTTTTGCAATACGGATGTGTATCCTTCCTTCTCTCCAAGATCCTGTGCGGCAGTCTTCAAAACAACAAAAGAAGCTAGCACAGTCTTTCCCTTCTAGGCACTCATATCCATAATCATCATCACGTTCAGGTAGATGATTAATGTTATTAATTGGAATTAGTGTTGATCCAGGTCGAACAGCAATTGCAGGTGGTTTCTTAAAAAGAAAAGGAAAGAAAGAAAGAAAAATACATTTTTTTTTCTTTCCCCGTAGACTACAAACATTCCTTGGACTTCTGATAGAAAGGCCACTGTAAGTACATTTAGTTCAATATACAGAATTTCAAATTTTAATGAAAAACAGTTTGGGGAGCATTGTGAATTGTGAACTGCTGTATTCCATCAGCTCGGGCAGGCAAAAGTTCATGAATGCTTTTCACCTGTCACAGTAAAATCTGGGTTGTGCTGGGATTTGGGAATACTGGATAATTAGTTACACAGACTGGGTCAGCTGATCTGATCTACACAACACAAAAGAACATTTTGAAGTCAGCCACAGCTGTGCAACTGTGTCACAAACAAGTCCACAAGTAGGATATAGGTAACACTACCAAGGGAATGACTTTTTCCCATCATCTGCAGTCTTTAGAGGAAGACTGGATATGTTTCTGGAAGCTACATTTTGGGCAAAACAAGGTAGTGGGATTAGTATAGCGTCACTGGTGAACTTTAAGAGGCTTTGACACACACACTAAGTCATCTAACACTCCTCTGATGTTACACCTCTGAAGAAAACATCCAGAGCGCTTGGAGACTGAGGCAGCCTCCCATGGAGAATACCATTTAAATCAGTAAACTCATTAATGTTAATTCTCACTTCTACTTTTAGTTAACATATCTCAAGCCACTTGCAATCTAGGAAATTTCACTATAAAAGCTGTCAAGCTTCATAAATAATTTTAACAGAAAAACTCTGGGTGTCTTATTGCTTCATACGTAGAGCATTTGCTATTTCCTTCCCAGTGATTTTCATTCCTTTTATGTTCCTTTCACTTGTATTACTATCCTTCCTTTCACTCATACTACTATACTCCATCTTTCCTCCTTCTGCTATTTTGTTTCCATGCAGTTCTTCACTCTTTATCATTCTTTCCCCAGATATTTTTAAGACATTCTTCCTTTCCCTTTCTGTTCTTGTTCCATTTTCCAAATCTCATAGCCTTTCTAGATCACTCCACAGTCCTCTTGTCAAAGCTAGAGGTTTGAAAGAAGAGTGAACATCTGTTCTAAAATGTTTTGCTTTTAAAGAAAACAAACAAACAAAAATCTTCTGTTTCTTTTACTATCTCCATATATTTTTCTACAGGTAATAAAACCGATAGGAAAGAATTTAGTCAGAGGAATTAAGGAAGTGAGTTTACAATGAAGTAATTAACATCTGCGGACCTCAAAGCATACAGAAAAATCTCTCTAAGCAATTACACATGGTAAGCAATAATATATAAGAACCAGAAAGCCACATCATTTAAATTATATTTTGACTACTACTGTCCCACTTCCAGAGAATGACCTGGGTCAGCACACAGGTGATATCTACACCCTGTTATGAGGTTACCACCCTTGTAGTATAATTTCTCTGCAGCAATAATGTTCCAGGAGGATGATACTGAAGTAGTTTAATGTACAATGTGTCTTCCTATCCCCTTAATAAACTTGTTTAAAATGCTTTTTTCAAAGGAAGTTTCATGCAAACTGCTGTTTCAACAAATTCTTAGACACAATGACCTAAGGAGCTACTTATTATCCTAAAAGACCTCATTATTCTTTTCAGTGATGATAAATGCTCACTATATTAACAAAGAACAGTTAGATGCTTCTACCCAAATAAGTATTACAAGCAAAGCTTATTTTTACATAAGAAAAAACATTTATGTCAACCCTGCACAAAGGTACATCTACTGAAGGTCACAATACCTAAGTTGCTACTTGGATTACAACAGTAGCCACTTGCTTGTGAGAATTACTGGCATATTCCAGAAAAAAAAAGGAATAAATGAGAGAAGGGAAACAAGCGACCACAGTTTCCCACAGCAGAGAAGGGAGGACAGAAAAGAAAACAGTTCCTTGAGAAGCACAACCAAAGAATTCAGGGAGAACCCTGATTGTTTTCCTATTATTCATTTTACTCATGTGCCCCTCCTCTAGCACATAGTCTGTTTAACAAATACCAGAGTAGACTAAAATCAGCTACTGAATTCAAAATTACTCAGTACTATGTTAAATACTTAATTTCTTACATGAAATATATAAAGAATATGCAGGAAAGAGACAATGTGAAAAACGGGGAGAAAAGATTTGGAAAAATTATGAAGATAATATTTTTAAAAGAAAAATCAAAGGAACTTTAAAGGTAAAATCTAAAGGTCAGGAAAGGACAGAAGTAAAAGACAAAATCTTTAACCTGCTGAGCCCAACATGAAACTGCATCAAAGAATAAAACTATAAATCCCTAAAATACGAACCAGAAGAGTTCGTAGAACTGAGGTCTTCAGAAAGGTCTTACTCCAGAAAGCATGAGGAAACTGCAAATGAAAAATGGTAACTAAAAAAAATCCCTCAAACTCACCTTATTTAAAAAAAATAGAATAAAAAATAAAAAGAGATGTTTTCTCAAACACTCTCAGAGTCACTTTTAGGAATAAAAATGGGCTTACAATGCACAGGAAAGTAGAATATAAGGTTACAATAATGTGACCTTATAACAAATGGTAGCAACTAAAATATATATATTTGTATTTATAGGTTTATATGATAGCACCTGTTGATTCTACCTGAAGACTGTTGATCATATTTTAGATGAAACTCTAAATACAGTGAGAAGCATTTATAACACACTCTAACAAGATCAAAACCGAATTATTCTGCACAAAACACTAAACAGGTATAAGAAAAAAAGCCATCATCCATGCACTTTTTGAGCTCACTACTAAGTTTGGGCTGGAAGGATTAAACTCCTTACCCTTACTAACCTGCATAAGCCAATTCATACTGCTTTACTTGAATGACATTAGCATACATTCTGTAAAATAAAAATGCTGTAATGATACACAAAAATCTCACCATATATTTTACTGCCTTCCAACAACAGCCAATTCAAATATCATATCTTCAGTACATTTACGTTTACATTAATCCCTACTGCTACAATCTTATCTACAGTCCTTTGCCAGAAGTTGTTAGCTGTGCCCAAACAGAACTGTCAGGCAGCTGTAAAAGCACAGAGGAGATGTGCACAACACGGAAAATAATATTAAATTAAAATAATAATATTCAACTATTTTCTAGCTTAGCCTTATATGTTCTCATTCATATATGATTAAGATGATTCTGTTTGTTTATTAGTAGTATAAAGAGAAAATAAAGACCCCAACTGTAAAAATTCTCTTTGAAAATTAGCCCTTCTGCTTGAGAATCAGTCCCTCAGAATTAATTTTACAATGAACAGCATTCTGCAATTCTTTTTTCTTCTAAATTGCTTGACTAAACTTACTGATGGTTTGGATTTTGCCTTCTTTTCTTTTCCTTTGTCCCCTTTTCTGTTGCTGGTAAAGTAATGCAAAGTGCCATACTCCATCAAGGCAGCAAACACAAAAATGAAGCAAACTGAAACGAAGAGGTCCATTGCCGTCACGTAAGAAACCTTTGGGAGGGACTTCCTAGCAATTGTGCTCAGCGTGGTCATGGTCAACACTGTCGTAATACCTGTTTGAAGAAGAAAGGAGAAGAGAGAAGTGTATAAATAAATAACGCTGTCATATTGTCACAAAAATTCCTCAAATTACCTCTTATTTCATTGGTGAAGCACACAAGAACCGACCCGCAGCACGGTTCGCCTCAGATCACCCCCACATGCACCCATGCACACCACTGATAGCACAAGAAGCCATCCATAGGGATCCAGTGGCCACAGCAGGCTCACACAGAAGAAAGATTTCAGCTCTGCTTTAAAGACCTCCTGTTTTCAGCACACACTGAGGACCCAAAAACACTAAGGAAGTTTATGAAAGGAAAAAATAAAGCTACTACAATAAGCAGAAATAAATAGGCACAAATAATCATCCTTTGGTTCTGGAAAAATTAAAATATTCAAATTAATCATTTTTGGGGTAAGCAAATGGTTTATCAATAATTTAAAGAAATTCAGAACATGATAATGATTTAAAACATTCAGAAAATCCTGGGGAAAAAAAGAATAATATTTTAAATTGCTTCTGATGTATAATACGACAAACTAGGTGGACCTTTCTGGTCTCATTCTCCAGATATTTTCTCAACACTGTCTTTTAGGTAATAGAAAATGTTTCACTTGACTCACTCATACACAAGTTAGTTACACGAACAAGCTGGCCTTAGTAGCTGTATGTTTAGAATCTCAACTAAAATGCTCTTCAGTGGTTTAATACTTTCTTCTTATATTTGGTGTTTCACGGAGATGCAAAGCTTTTTTTGATAGTAGTCCAAAATTCAGATGTGGCCTTTCATTTGGATAGCAATACTTGAAGACATAAAGAATTTCTGTTATTTACATAAGCAGGTTTATTACACAAAACATGTTATACCAATCTAAGGCTGTAAACTAAAGCACAGAATCAGAGGTTGCTCTTGACTGATCCTACAGTAGGAAAACAGTGGTGATTTTGCAGCAAATTTCTCAAAAGAAGTAAATGAAGAGGTAAATGAATGGCATACAAGCCACCACGGAGTTTTTCAAAAGTGCTTAGCTCCCACTAGATGCTTCTGAAAATCAATTAGGCTCTTCTCTGCATAATTAAATGCCTAAATACCTTAATAATATGGATCATTTTGCTTTGGGGAAACACAATCTGTCAGGGTTGCAACACAGATGGATGCAAGGGAAAGGTGTGAGGCTGCGTGGCATACCCAGCCGTGGCAGAGCCACCAGGTGGAAGGAGATCCCACGATTCCCTATGGATATCTGCTCAGGGGATGAAAGGAGATACAGACTTCCCAGCCCTCTCCACTGAGGAAAGAAAAAGGAGGGCTGTCTCCCTGAGCAAACCTCCCACAGTATTTTGGCTGCTGGTCATGATGTACACTGGTTTGGTCTTTATTGTTTTAATTTCTAAATCATTCTCTATAAAATTTTGTTTATTCCACTGGTCACCTCTTTTCTTCTTTTCCAGGATGTGTGTCTATGAGAAAAATAATCCTACAACCTACCAGTCAAACAGGCTCATGACAAAGTCACCAAAAGTAACTCAGAGTTAACTGGATGGAGCTGTAAATATGATTCTGCAAACACTTGCTGTGCATTTCAAGATGAAAGTTAGCATTGCTAAAATGGAATAGTGAAAACTCAGGATTCATCATTTGATCCAAGGTGCTAGATTAATGGCATAGAAAAATTATTCAACATAAAGAACAATCTAGATATAGAACGAGAAGGATACGACATATTTTTCTGTTTACAACTAGTCTTCCCAGACTGTACCCACAATAAGATTTATGTGCAGTGCTTAAAAAGTTAAAGAAATTTTATAGTTTCTAAATATCAGAGCCACTTTCATTCATGTATTCAGGCTTTTAGGCTCTTTACTAAGCTTTGCAGAACTTTTAAATAGTGCAATGTTAAGGTCCAAGACTCATACTTCCTTTCGCCATCTTTTCATTAAGCAACCGAGCCATGTTCATTTTTGCTTACTTTCTTTCTTGACTTCATAATCTTGCAGATTTAACAGCAGATTTAAATCCCAAGTGGTCAAAGGTAGGAAACTGATGCCATGTCAAACAGCTCAAACAAGGTGACACTGCCATAGAATAATCTCTGTAGCAAAATTCACAATAATTCAGTAGTATCTATAGTAAAAACAAAAACCCTAAGGATGGTGAGTCTGGCTTTTGTGAGTTAGGTGTATTATACCTAATAGTTTGAGGTGCAAATACAGTTAAACATTTTCCTCATTTTAGGCTTTTTAAAAAAAAAAGGAATCATTTTCATTACTTTTTAGAAATCTAGACCTTCCTGGATTT